AGTTCAGTCATATTTTGTCAAATGTCCTATCCAAAGTTAGATGTAGGATCGGTCTTATTCGCAGCTTTATATTTCTGCGAATTTAATGAAATCGTTTTGTTAGGTAAACACCTTTGTACATGAACATTATCCTCTCGGGCATAACTCGTTTGTCCGCCTTTCTAAAGTTAACAACACCTTAATATGGATGCTATTTGTGGCCGCTCTCTTAGGGGTTTCATTGATTTGCTTTGCGTCAACGTCGCATGCTATGCTATCACCTGTTTCCGCAAAAAAGGAGGGTACAATAATAACTCTTGATCTTCTATTTCAGTTAATTATACCTTGTCCGTTTTTAACCAAGGACGTCACTTCAAGCTACATGCAGCTGACGAACGGTTTTCAAGAGCCTTCATTTCGCCCGAGATTACAATATGGCACTAATAGTTTAAGCGTTTCGATATACTCGTCTGATCAACAATACCCATGAGTGAGGCTAGGGAGGATGAGGATATTGGGTGTAAATCCCCGAAATATGGATTTTACGAAAGGCAAGCAGGCCTTTGGGAGTATAAGCTTGTTCAAGGTGCCATTGTCGAGTCAAAAAGATACTGCTCCACCCATTTCCATTGTGATAAACGGTAAAAGGAAACTTTCTACTGTCTTCGTATAGGTCGTTGCATTTTGGTGATTGTCAAGGAATAATAATCGACTCAAACTAGCTGCTGAATGCAGTGATATGGGCCATAATTTGCTTTGTAGCATCGTACCTAATAAAGACGATTGATTACTTCCTGCTGTGCGACTCATCCGATCTATATAAGTCAGACATTTTTCCGTCATAAAATACCCCTTTGACACCTGTCGCTTGTCACAGACTGTGACCTCCGCTAAATTCAAAGCTGACTCAAGAATTCACCCACCTGATATTGCTGTACTTTAGTGTTCATTAATATGCGCAATGGGCGGACCAAACTCAAAATGCTAATCCAAGCTTGCCTTTAACCACTGCCAGTGATCGCTCCTTTGGATGTGGATCGAATATTCTAACGCTTTCGGTAAAGGTGTTGGGAAATCGAAAGTTTTCAACAGGCTGGCGGGAATTGGCTTTGATTGTAAAACGCTAACCACTCGTTTTCGACTTAATTAATGGGATCTGAGGAATTCGTTACATCCAGAGTAATCTTAGGTGAAATATATTGTCGACAATTGAATTCTGAAAAGTTTTAAATCTCGAACAGTAGTGACGTTGTGCTTCACTTTTGTGCTGCGTGTTAGACTGGAAAATTGTGTTATTCACATTTGAACAAGGAAATGTAGTGTTTCACATACAGAAGTAGTAGATCCGCCTGATTAATTTATATAGACTGGCGTAAGTCTACCATCAACCATCAATATTTATCATGGACACCGCTCTTCAAATGAATTTAATAAGCCTTGTGTGCTTGTTAATGGACTGTGTTCAGTTTCATCGAACTTACTGATGTTTCAAACGCCTAACCTCATTAATCAGCGGCTCGCATAAATCCCATTCTGTTTGTCGTCGTTTCTGAACATTTTGCGGTGTGTCGGCATGGGTTCCGGTTCGTTTGAAACTTGCAGGAAATTGGATTCGGACCATTGGCTTTATCGGCGACAGTCGTTATCTCTATCTCATGTCAGTGCCAAGTAACGCGATCAAAGTCAGCACAGTGATATTCCATCTGGCTATTTTTGTGTAGTAATAAAGACTGCTAGAACTTGTTAACTAATTCACGAGTGTTGTTTACAGAATTTTTATCCAGTTTGGGCTTCTTAAAACTTACACAAGCATACAAACTAACATACATACATACATACATAAATACATACATACATACATACATACATACATACATACATACATACATACATACATACATACACATACATACATACATACATACATACATACATACATACATACATACATACATACATACACATACGCAACTTATTCAACTGTTCTGAGCCCCAACCACGTCCAAAAGTCATCCTGTGCTTCTTAGCTTTGCAGCTCACACTTCAATTACACGATGATTTCATCATATAATGTTCTGTTTTTCTGCAGGCAAATTATCTGTGATTGATTTGGCCGAGTTAAATCCATTAATCGGCTCAGAGGCCGATGTGGAACGTACAAGGTATACTGCTGTGCAGTTGCTAAAGACTTGTCTGGGCTTTCGAAGAAGTGGACATCTACCCTTTGTTGTCCATTCTCTTGCCGATGAGGGTATCCGCAGTCGAGTGGACGTTCCAAAGCAGTAACCAGATTTTTGAACTTTGTTTTCTGTTTTATTAACTTTGTACAACTCATTTCTTCTGTTTAGTACAGTTTAACTATCTTTTATTGAATAACAAACTCGTTTCTTTTTAACTATTCAGATAATTATCTACTGCCTTCTGACATTTTTCCTGGCCTATCAGCCATACGTATTCTGAAGGTTACAAATAAATCACTCTTCATTTACAAGTTATTTTTACATGTCATTTTGGAATGGTGCTATAGAAATCGAGCGGGAAGCGATGTATTCTTACGAATCCAGAAGAAACAAATTATCTTCAAAATCCAGTTGAATCCAAGTAGTGTTACAACGAAAGCTTAATTATAGTGCTCATCAACTCACAAAATGAGATCATTTTCTCAGTTATATGATTTGGTTGTCGCGATATAGATTAACTAATTCAACATGGTATTCTTTCATGACTCCACAACATGCTTCGTAGTGAGAGCAATATTTGAATATGAGCGCATCAGGCGAGTGGAAATCCATAGCAAGGAACCAAAAACGGGCAAGTACACAAGACGTAAACCATCTGGGAAACACGCTGATTTCGTGGTCAACCAGGAAACTCTTACATTCGGTAGTGAGAAAAAAATAAGACCATTAGAGTGAATTACCACTTGCTATGGTGCCTTCTCAGTCCGAAACTAAGTGGTTTCATTGGAGTTGAGTTTGCTGCAAATTTGTGCCACCACCTTTTTCCATCACAAACGCTTTCGTGGGTGACATTATTACACCTTTTGAATTCGATTCCCGTTCTCAATGTAAAGGATCAATTTTGTTTTATTGTCATCTTGAGGCCATAGGTGACCTGGAAATCGGCACAACTTCCCTTGAGAATCTGTAAATTTACCATTGCAGTTTCACACGAATGTGTCAAAGCTCTCGGTGAACATGGATCTCTGTCCTGACTATTCATCGGAACAGAGAAGATAAGGTTGCCCTCTTGGGCTCTATATTTGTGACAGCATAAGCTTGTTCGTAGCGCTAAACGTTTACCTGTCCTAAACACTACTATACATTCATTCATATATATACATATATATATATATATATGTATATGTATATGTATATTTCACACGTCTGAGTCCACAATATGTGCTGAACATATCACAAACAAATACTCCTATGAGGTTCTGTGATTTGCTTGTGAGCGCGATACTGCTATGTTCCCCGGTCCAAAGCAGACGAAATTTTTATGGCATTCACTACTGGAACCTTTGACTAGCCAAAACCTGACCCGCAATGTAGCTGGGCGGTGTGTTACAACTGCAATCCATTGGGGGCCGGTGTCCAATTAATCGTTATCAAAGTCCGGTTACCTGGTACACACAAAAGCCCAATCGAGCCGCGGATCACTGCCACAGCCACGAAGATGTTTTTTCTTGTTTGTTTGTGACTCGTTCGCTCCTTCTTGGTTGGTTTTGAATCAGGGATTTTGGCATGCCCCCTTACTTGAACTACCTGTTTCGCCAACCAAATTATAGTACCCAATGTTGGATTGCCGTCCTCTCCTTCTAATGGAAAAACAACTCTACCACGGGAAAACAGTCAGAAGGGGTTCCTGAGAAGAGTCCGTATGAGACACTTGGTCGTGTAGAAGCACTTCGCAAAGAGCAAGGCAAGAGTGACCAGTCACAATCCGAAACACGAGCTTGCGAACAAGCACATGGCCAATTCAATGACACTAGTAATGAAAAAGTGGGATTGAAGTGCAGGAGAGAATAACGTGGAAAAACAAACAGTGAATTGTTTGCAGTTGTTGGTAATTACAGAGAACTGAAGGGACAAAAACAACAGTATTAATTTATTTCTTATATTGAACATATTTTAATATTCTTGCTTTTGTTTTCATTTTGATGGGTGTTACAGTTGCACAAAACACTTGCTTCTATGCCGTATCAATACCTCTGTGACGCTTAATGTTTCTCCGTTTTAAACATTTAAACCTGACAGCTGGGTTGCCGTAGGTTCTCTGCGTTCATAATATTGCACACTGTGTTGACTGCTGAAATTGATAAAACACGTATTAAAAATGTACTGTCCCATTTCACTGAAAATCTTCCTTTTGTAATGCTAGCGTACTCCGGGGTCTCACGGTACAGCAGAGTGAACAGATTTGAGCGATAAGGTGTCCCTTGGCTTGTATTCTTGCGGTTCGAGACGATAGGAGACTTTGCGGTCGACGAACGACGGCCGAGGGGAACGGCAAAAAGAAGGCGGAGCTACCGGGACACGGAGTGGCGAGGAAACCATTTCAGATAGGTAGGCCGTGGGCCAGGGTTAAATTCAAACATGCAAGGGAGAGTAACTAAAACGTAAACCAAAAGGGTCTAGTGAGATATAAGCGCTCAAGATAAAATATTCAGTTCCGTTCAGTTTGAACAACCATTAACCATACACCCATTTTCTGGGTGCTGTCTTTTAGCTGCCCATTTGGGTTAACAATAGGAGGAAGACGGGCAGGTTTGCATCAGAAGAGAAGAGAAAATTGAGAATTTCAGTGCGCTAATGTTGAGAAGATGCACGCACACCACGGCTTACGACAACCATACATATCATTCAGTGTCTCCAACTATCGGTTACGATCATTTCGAGGGCCGTATCCAGGGAACCTAACAGGATCTGTGTGACCCAGACTCCTGGTTACGCTTTTCATACCCTCATGCCAGGTTTTGACTTTACCACCCTTGGCTTTATTCTACCCAATACCTCCCTCTGCAAACATGGCTCGCCAAGGCAACATGTTTGTTGACATGCGTAACACACGCTCCAACCAACGTAATTTACGGGGTCAACCACTTGCTCTAATGGGTGCGGTTGCCAAGAGATACACTTTCCATGAACGGCTCAGGGGCTGTAACAACGCAAAAGAATGTGCCACTACCTCAGTTGTTGCATGTGCCTCTAACTTTGGATACTTGAGGTACCGTGAGTTACGCCTTCTCCTATCTCGTAACTTATTTTGTTTCTCATCTTTCCATGCGATCTGTTGAGCCATACGTGGTCACTCAAAAATCTCGATTGCATTTGATAGTGATTCGTTATCTGTCACTCTTTATCAGCTTTATCAGCTTGATTCATAGATCCTTTTTTAAAAAGACAGCCATTTTATGAGGATGCCGCGGAAAACAAAATATTATATACAGAAATACATATACAAGGTTGTATCTTGTACGAATGCCAAAGAGACAGAATTTCAACAAAGTGAGTAAACAGCATTCGCCTCACTGACTTCTATCCTGAGTTATATAAATCAGCGTCTCTAGACAAAACGAATGCCGAAACTAACTTATTCTTTACACTACGCCAGGTCTGCCCGCTGTGATGTTTCTTTCAGGTCTGCTTGGCGTGCGTGCAGAGAGAGCATATGTACATCTGCGTCACTAAGTGTGTCAGTTTGACTCCGGAAATTGCTGGAAAGTTTGTCATATACAT